GGGACTCCAGGATCATGACCTGAGCCGAAGGCAGTCGCTTAACCAACTGAGCCACCCAGGCGCCCATTTCATATTATTCTTGCTTAAAAAATATCTAAATCTGCTTTATCCAGCTATTTTTCTCCTTTCTCTCAAGTGTTTCAATGAGCAAATACACTTTACAATGTAATCACAACCATCATTAGAAAATAAAGCATGCCTTCTACACAATGTTTAAAGGTTACTTTGATTATACACTATTTTATTTACATTTCCATAGTATTAATTCTACTATATTTTATAATGTTTGATACTCCTATATATCAATCAGTTCATTTTATTAGATTTTTTTTTTGCTTTAAGATTAGATCATTTATTAATTACTTAAATCACTAAAAAATTACCATGGTTCTTATTTGCAATGCATGTATTTATGGAATGTCCAGAAACTTATACATAGTTCTTGCATCCTTCAACTAAAAAGGGCAAGTCCTTAGATGTAGTGTGATCCAGGTTTTTACAAATACCTACCATTCTGGTTTACATCTGGCTGAAGATCCTCAATGAGCTCTTGTTTCTTCTGTAATTCTTCCTGGACCTCAGTTAGTTTTTCCCTAAGTAGTGGAAAGAGCATGGAGTTTTGGAAACAAACAGACCTAAGAATGAAAACTGATTTCTGCCACATAACATTTGTGGACTGTGGGCAAATCCCTTTCTGATCCTGAATCTCCTCACCTGTGAAATGGGAGTAATACCTGCCAAATATTATAGGGGTTGCTGTGAGAAGGTAAACTGCCTGGCACATGATGGGTGCCAAAAATGTTAATTTTTTCCCCCTTGCCATCCTTGCTTCCTAAGAAAGTCAAAGGAAATATTTTATTGGTTAAACATCCCACATCCCCACACAGTCAAGTTGTGACAGTTGTCTGCTTTGTAAACCCTTCAAATGACATTAGTGACTGAAAAATGTAGGATCTGGGATCACTGGCAGGCAGGCTAAATATTTTAGAACATTTTTCTTTTCACTTCTTGGTGGCAGTGGTGAACATTTAATTGCCATCAGGGGATTTTTCTTATAAACAAAATCAGAAAAGGATACTAACTTTAGAAGTTTTTAAAACCCTTCCCCTTGCATATTTGAAATGAAATATCAGTTTTACTTACATATGAGCTTCCAACTTCTGCTTTAGTTTGCTGGACTATAAAAATTAAAAAAAGTTGCTGTAAAATAACTTTTGTGACAAAGATAAATTTTCCAGACATCAAAATCTCTTTATCTCCTTTTGAAGTGTATTATTTAAAACTGTAAATGTTTCAAAAATTTGTATTTCTAATAACATACTCGTAAAAACATAAAATTTTAGGTATTTTTTACTTCAAAGGGAAAGGAAAGGAGGTTAGGAAATGAAAGAAGGATGAGTACAATAGTAAAAAGAAAAATGCTTCATATTTCTGAATACCATGAAAATAAAATTTAAACTTGAAGAAAAATAGCAAATGCAAGCTGAATGTGATATACTGAGGAGTATCAAACATTTAAAATCATTATTTAAAATATAAATTTTAAGATTTTAGGCCTTTAAATGAAGAATAGACTTAAAATAATTATCTTTATAATAAAGCGTTATCATTACAAATGCGAGCACTTTAATATTAACATCAAAACAGAGCAAGTGGATTTTGTTAAAAAATGAAATTTAAGACATAAAACTTCCTCCTTAAAAAGCAGGAGTTTAAATTGCAATACTAGTTCAAGATCATCTACTGAATAGATAAATGAAGGGTTTAAAACATATAATGTGAAATATAACTCAGACACTAATACATTTTAAAAAGAGAAACATAAAACCTTTAAAAATACTGCAATCCAAAAATGTACTCCCCCCAAATAGATCCCATTTTAAAAGTATTCCCTACTGTGGCTTAGAAAAAATATTTGTATTAGAGAGATTACAATACCGTATATATGCACATACGAGATGCCGCCATGCATGAGACGATTTCTATTTTCCAAGCCCCCGAGGAAAAAAGAGAAAATCATATAAAGCATATAAAAGACAGAGAGGAAACACAACCCTTTCAGTCTTCTTTCTCATCTCTTTACTTACTCTTAATAGCTCTCTCCCCCATCAACACAGGTACAACCACCTCACATTGTATCTACCCAGTATCTAATGTACATTGAGCCCTATCTTTTTGTTGTTGTTATAGTTAAATGCCTCCCTCCCTCCACTGTTACTTCTTTTCCCCTCTGCATACAGAGATCCAACTACAGACACACTGCTAGGTATATTCAGATTTGGGCTGTTCGAGCTCTGCTGAGTCCTCTTATCTGTCCCTTACAATGTTTGCCATCAAAGCCCATTAGAAATGGCGAGGCCATAAGTCTGCTTGCAAGGAGGGAAGAAATAAGGGGTGACTGATGTCTTCAAAACTGCATTAAGGTTTCTGTCTTTTGGAGGTTGGTATGATCCACTTCTTTGACGCTCTTTGGTAGAAATCATTGTCTTTCTCCTCTCTGTTAGATTTCCTCAATGCTGACTGCTGACTACTCTTACTAGGACTTTTCTCAAGCCTGAGAAAAGAGCTGTGAAGACCTCACTCGTAGCATGCTGTCAAACAGGAATTACCATGAATTTAGGTGTAGCTGTTGAAGTAAAATCTGATGGTCCTTTCAGAAAGCTAAAATGTTGATGTAATAGATAGAAATCACCTTCCAATACATATGATTAATTTATAGGCTCCAAGTTGGCAAAATCACTGCATCTGTTATGCAGATATATACGGTATTCGAGGGTACCCCCAAAGATAAGGGTAGCACTTTCAAATACAGGACTAATTTGGGCATCAGGACTTATGGCAGAGAGTCCACACACAGCAGAATTATTACAATGTTTAAGTTACTTACACTTTCTCCTTCAGACCTGGAGCCTTGTTCCTGTAAAGATTTCTGGAGGTCCTCAATCTGCTGCTGCAATTCTCGGATACGCTCTTTGCTCAGCCTATTGTTAAGATGAATCGTATGTATTTATTTGTATTGAAAGTCAAAGTAGTTATGGATCTATAAAGGTACATTTGTGCAATTTAACACATGAAGTCTGCATTTAATAGCAATGATGAATGCCCAACAATTGTCTGTGGCTAGGTATAATATATAGTGTAAGTACAGTAGGCTACTTGCAAGAAAATACTTTTTAAAAAAGAAGACATTTTATCATGGACGTATATATGCCCACATTTAAAAATTTCAGATACTTGTGTGCCAGCTGCAAAAGCACATCAATTCTGCACTGTCCTCGCTGGTACGAAAATCAGAAAAGTAGTTGTTTTCCTATACTTTTATCTTTAATGAATGGGAACTAGGTTTCTTCTTCTTGTTTCAGATTTCACAGTGTATTGACCAAGGCCACCATTTCCCAACCATTTCTTCATAACTTTTTATTTAAATTAAAGAGACTAACACTAGCAACTAGGGCACATTTCTAACTTGGCAAAATCTTGTTCTTTAAAACCCTGCTTAAGAGTTACCTCCGCTGAGGTTACCAGCAAGAGAAAGTATCTGACGGTCTCTTCTCATGTATATATGACCTAACACACCTGCCTATTATAACACTCCACTGTTCCACTATTGCAGGTATCACATAATATAATCATTATTCATATGTCTATCTTCCTACAGTAACTCTTTAAAAGGTGAAACTTTGTATCTCCAGTGCTGATATTGAACTGGATAGGATAGTAAAATCTGATGGTCCTTTCAGAAAGCTAAAATGTTGATGTAATACAATATATACAAGTTTGAGAGAGAAGGTTCAAGTGTATCTAAAATTCCTGGTGGTCTCTAAGATCTAATAAAGTTTGGTCAAATAAAATCAAATAGTTTTATAGCAAAATATGCTATTTATAAGAGGCAAGTTGGCACAGTGGTTAAGAGTCCGGACTCAGGAATCAGACTGACAGAAAGTTCAAATGTGGGATTGAAAATTTACTAGCTTGTAACTCTGGACAAGTTACTTAGCCTCCTTCAACCTCAGCTTCCTTATCCATAAAAAAGAGAGAATTTCAATTCTCACTTCATAGAGTTTTTGTGAGGATTTCTGAGTGAATACCAAAAAAGTGCTTAGAAAGTGCCTGGCATATAGTGAACACTATATCAACTGTTATATATTTTTAATACTCTAATTCTTGTGCATCTCATTGCTATCAGATGAGTACACCATTTGCTTTTATAGCTGAAGACACCAAGTGTAAGTTTAACTTGCCCAGGACAGAACAGCTAATAAATTTAAATAGAGATGGGGCTCAAATTTGACTGCACGGTCTATGTTCTATCCATGTACAGACCGCAGCCCAAAGCCAGACTGTCATTTATCCATTTGTTAAATTTTCTGTGGATTGTGAAAACATATAAATGAAATTCAAGAAAAAGCAGCCAGTAATAAAGTCTGCTAAAGGGGCGTGTGGGTGGCTCAGTCGTTAAGCATCTGCCTTCGGCTCAGGTCATGATCCTGGGGTCCTGGGATCGAGCCCCGCATCGGGCTCCCTGCTCGGGGGGAAGCCTGCTTCTCCCTCTCCCACCCCCCATGCTTGTGTTTCCTCTCTCACTGTGTCTCACTCAAATAAATAAATAAAATCTTTAAAAAATAAAAAAATAAAAAAAAATAAAGTCTGCTAAAATAATGGAAGTGAGAGGCTGAAAACAACAATTTAAACTTCTTTAAATTCTACTTATTTTAACTACGTGGCTAGCTAATGGAATCACTATGAATGTCAATTACAAAAGTGTGTGTCACCTTTGCTCGGTTTCGAGTTCATTCATCTTGCGGTGCTTCTGTTCCAGCTGCTCCTGAAGTTCCTCAATACGCTCATTCTCAGTGCCTTCCTGTTGCAAGCGGAGCATCTTATTTTCATGTTGCAGTCGAATAAACACTTCCCTGAGGTTGAAAAGCAAGTTTGTTTTTAAATTTTTTAAATGTACATTTTACATTTTTTTACATTTTGAACTTTTAGAAAATTCCTGTTCATTCAATAGCTGTCATTTAAAAATGTTACCAATGTTTCTGAAATTTTTTAAGAAAAAACTATGTACATTGTAAGACTGTCTCAAAAAACAAGTAATAAATTTTTCAGAGCGTAAGTATTATATTATATATCATTAAATATTATGCAAATTCCAAAAGAAAAGAGTTATTTTACTGGTAACTTAGATGCTATTCACTATAGCATAATCTCAGAAAATATATGCATTAAAAGCAATAGATTTAAGAAATCAGTTTGTTTCATATTTTTTAAATATACTCTTATGATGACAGTCATATGACTACTTCTAGGTTTTTTTGTTTTCAAAAAACAATTTTTCTTAAAAGTTTACAAACACACATCTTCTAAAATGCAAATGATAGGAATGATATTAAATAAAAAAGTGATGTTCTCCTACCTCCTGCCTCCCTAAATGCATTTTTTAAGATTTTATTTATTTATTTGACAGAGAGAGAGAGAGAGATAGTACAAGCAGGGGGAGCGGCAGGTAGAAGAAGAAACAGGCTTCCCACTGAGCAGGGAGCCCGATGCGGGGCTCGATCCCAGGACCCTGGGATCATGACCTGAGCCGAAGGCAGATGCTTAACTGACTAAGCCACCCAAGTGCCCCTAAATGCAATTTCTTAAAAGCAACTAATTTCAATTAATCTCAATTTGTGTTCTTCTGAATGGCAACATCATGACTTTAAAATACAGTGCATATGGCTATTTTTTTTTCAAATGGCTATTTTTAAAGTGACACTAATATCACTGGATATTAACAACTAAAAAGTTGCTTGCCAGTCCAGCATGTAAGGAGCTCTGTCTTAACAACAAAAAATTGAACAAAATGAAAATTAACATATTTGCAAACTATATGCTGAGTGAAAGCAGTCACAAAAGGCTGCCTATTGTAGGACTCACGTATATTAAATTCCGTTAACAGGCAACTCGACAAAGAGTTGATTCTCCGCTGCCTAGTGCTGGAGCCTGGGGGCACGCAGGACTGAGGAATGACTGCTAAGAGGCACAGGGTATTTTTTGGGGGGGAATGGAATGTTCTCAAATCAGATAGCTGCACAATTCTATGACTACACTAAACACCACTGAGCCAGACAGTTTTAAATGGGTGAATTATATCTCAGTAAATCTGCTTAAGAGTAGAGTCTGAAGTAGTAAATAAAACTGTTACCACAAAAAGGAAAGGAAAACCATAAAAAGATACCAGATTAGTCAAATACCTAGAAGCAAACATAGCAGTAAGATACCACGATAAAAGTTGGTTAAAAGAAAACTCTAAAATTTGTATTTTATTTAACTTCTGTTTATTCCTTCTATTATTCATAGCTCCTCTCTTAGTTTCACCTGTGTGGATGTGAATGCCAGGTATAAAAAAGTTTTTCCATTGAGTTTATGGGTAGGAAAAGAAGTTCAACACAATAAAAGTCATATTATAAAAACTAGAATATTTTATTCATCTAGTTTGTGAAATTTTACTTCTAATAAATTCTAAAACTGCTGTAGTAGCAGTAACAATCTAAGAAGTTCAGGGGTGTCTGGGTGGCTCAGTCGTTAAGTGGCTGCCTTCAGCTCAGGTCATGATCCCAGGGTCCTGGGATGGAGCCCCACATCGGGCTCCCTGCTCAGGGGGAAGCCTGCTTCTCCCGCTCCCACTCCCCCTGCTTGTGTTCCCTCTCTCGCTGTCTCTCTGTCAAAAAATAAAATAAAATCTTTAAAAAAAAAAATTAAAAAAAAAAAAAATCTAAGAAGTTCAAGCAGATGAGACAAAGTAATTTTGAGCTCCATGACTCATAAAAGGGAACACTCTAAAGGCTAATAATTTTTTTAGAAAGAAATCATATTTCTAATATTAAGTATAGATTATCAATTAATAAAAACAAATTTACCTATATTCCACTGGCATAATCTCAGCAGCAAGATTCTCATAACTTTTTGTAGCAGATGCATCTAAACAACAACAACAAAAGATTAACATTTCAGTATTTCTACCATCAAAAAAACTTTTCTAAATCCAACAAAATTCACCTGTTTGGTTTAGATGATCTTGTTGTACTTGTGAACATCGAAGCTCTTCATTTGTTTCTTTCAGAGTATCACGTTGTTCTATTAGTCTCTAAAAAAGAATTGTTTGGCAAAATATTTAATTTTGCCCACCAGAAATGTAATTTATGCTTATAATAATTTATCTTAAGTTAATTTCATAATTGCTGCTTAATTAAAAGTGACATTTTAGTTTCAGCGCTAAGAGGTAATTTTCTCTTACATAAATCACGTAAATAATCTTGATACAACATAAATCTTATAATTTCCCCATTAGATAATTTATCTTTGAACCAAACTGATGTAATTATGCAATGGAGTACAAATGTGCAACTGCAGAGTAATTAAAAAAAAAAAAAAAAGCATGGACTTTGGAGGCAAATAGATCATGGCTTGAACTCCAGTCTCACTTTTTCCTAGTTATTATATCACCTACAGTCAGTTATTTGACTCTTTGGCTTTAGTATCCACATCATCAATATGGAAGTGCAGATACATAACCCTTGCAAAAGTGTCCTGAGTAACAAGTGAGGTAAAGTTAGTGGTTACTTGGAAGAACTGATGAGCCAATACTGATACACTATTATTAACTAAAGGACATTAGGGTTCACTCTGTTTTACTTTTATGGGTTCTGACAAATGTATAATGTATCCATCATTACAATATCATGGTCAATTGATTTTCAACAAAGGTATCAAGACAATTAATAGGGAAAGAATCATCTTGTCAACAAATAGTGCTAGGACAACTGAATATCCACACACAAAAGAATGAAATTGGACCCCTATTTTACACCATATACAAAAATTAATTCAAAATTAATCACAGACTAAATATAAGAGCTAAAACTGTAAAATTAGAAACATAAGCAAAAATCTTTATAACCTCAGAGTACTCAGTGATTTCACAGAAATACTGCCAAAAAAGCATAAACAACAAAAGAAAAAAAATAGGTAACTGATTTCATCAAATGAGAAACTATTCTGTTGCAAACAGCACCATCAAAAAAATTAGAAGAACCCACAGAATAAAAGAACATATTTGCAAATCATATATTTGAGAAGGAACTTATATCCATAATCTATAAAGAACTCTTACAACTCAATAAAAAAGCAAATAACCTAAATAAAACATGAGTAAGGGATTTGAAGAGACATTTCTCCAGGGAAGACATACAAATGGCCCATAAGTACATGAAAAAATGCTCAACATCATTAGTCATTAGGGAAATGCAAGTCAAAACCACAATAGCATACCACTTCATACTCACTAGGATAGCTAAAATTAAAAGTCTTAAGTGTTGGCAAGGATATGGAGAAACTGAAAACCTTTACAAATTGATGAGAATGAAAAATGGTTCATCTACTTTAGAAAACAGCATGGTAGCTCCTTTTTTAAAAGGTTAACCATAGTTACCATATGACCCAGCAGTACCATTCCTAGGTACGTACTCAAGAAATGAAAACACATGCCTACATAAAAACTTCTAAATAAATGTTCATAGCCACATTATTTGTTTAATAGCCCAAATGTCCATAAAATGATGAATGGATAAATAAAATGTGGTATATCTATGGAATGGAGTATTATTCAACATTAAAACAAAGTACTGATTCATGCTATGACACTGATGAACTTTGAAAGCATTAATCCACATGAAGGAATCTGGCCACAAAACTGATACAGTGTATGATGGCATATCCTGGACAGACTGGGCAAATCTGCAGAGACAGAAAATGGGTGAATGGTTGCGAAGGCCGTGGGGAGGGGAGCAGGATGCAGGGCAGCCGCCAGCAGGCACACTAACGGGCTGACGACAGCGCTCTAAAATCCGACTGTGGCGATGGCTGCACAGCTGCGAATACACCAACGGCTCCTGCACTGTACACTTCAAGTGGGCAACATTCATGGGGTACAAATTGTATCTCAACAATGCCATCATAAATAAAACCCATGGTCCTTGCCCTCAAGAAGCCAACGGTCTAGAATGGGAAAATGTGCAATGAGACACACGGCCTCGCCTCCGTGACTTCATCTTCCCTTGTGAAGGCAATTAACAACACTGCACATTAAACTTCTACTACTTTCTTTTATACCAACACTTGAATTTGGAAAAAGACCGAAGAAGATCTGATTGACATGACTTCCATTCTTAGAACAGCAAGGATAATATTAAACACTAAAAGAGAAGACAGACATATTACTCATCTACGATATTCATGCGTACCTCTTTTTCCTTAAGTAAAGCTTCATGTTTTTCTTCAAGCCGCTTCATTTCAAATGCTAGTGTATCTGCCCTTTTGGATTCAGAGGAAAGTTTATTGTGAAGATCCTGAACCTTTTGTCAGAAACAAAAGTAGATAACAAGAGTATATAATATTAATAGTTTTTCAGAGTTTAATAAATGAGAAACTGATTGGAAATAAAATTTATAAAGTAAGAATATAATCACGTAATCCTAAATAGTTGTGAAAATAGCATGTAAATAAGAGTTAACATAAATTTTAAAATACCCAAATAATAATTTAGTAAAAAAAAAAATCAGCCTTCTATTACTAAAATAATTTAGTAAAAAAAAATTGTCTGATAAATAGAAAAACAGAATATTATCAGTTATAGCTCCATTCTCTAGGCAATTATTACTGGTTACCAGAAATGCTAATAAACAATAAAATGCCAAAAATATATATAAGCTCAGAAGACAATAAAAAGGGAAAGACCTAGATAACTCAAATTCAATTATCAACCCTGGAATTAAAATCACAAGTAGAAGAATTCTATCATAAGTTCACAGCCAACTATAGGCAATGTTTCTTCACATCTCTATCATTCTTAAAGTATCAAAAGGAATCAAAAGGAAGTTGAGTCTTTTGATTTTATTTTAAAAAATTAAGATATTTCCTTACCTGCCTCTTGTATGTTTCTAACTGCGTACGTGCTGCATTTGCCTTCTTTAATTCTTCTTCTAAGCTGACTGTATTATGCATATACATCATGTTTGTTTCTTGTAAAGTTTTCACCTGCTTGCGAAGGTCGTTCAGATCTTGTAGCTTCTGACGATATATCTCGACTGTTGACTCTAGTTTATTTGCTTTATCAGAGGTAGCCCTATGATAATAAAGACTGCACATTACTGGGTAAGAACTAGTAAATGCACATAACAATTTTATTCTGTCTGTAAAATTAGTCAACCAGATAATTACTTGGCTGAAACAAAAAAAAAGGAAGGAAGGAAGGAAGGAAATGAGAAAGACAGACAAAAGAAATAAACTTTGTGGGAACTTTGGAAAAAGACTCAAATCCAGCATTGAACCTTTTTGTTGTAAAGGCATCAGAACAAAAATGCCTTAAATCTGACACACTAAATTATCAAACCACTTCATACGGCACAATGTTTAAAAAAAAATGGTTTTGCAAATGCAACTGAACAATTCTAAGCTTCTCTGTAGCTTATGGGCCAATTTTGCTTTGTGTATAGCATTTAGTACAGTTTTGTCCTAAGTATTTGATATACTTAGGAAGTTGACTCGACTTACAATTTGTCTGACAAAGAACTTTGCTTTAGAGTTGTGCTTACCTAACCAACTGGGCTAGAGCAAAAGTAAATACATAAACCAGATCACTTTCCATCACATACAGGTTCAAACGAATGGGTATAAAGATTTTGTTTCAAATGGATATAAAAACTGTGCAACAAAATGGCCCATTAAGAAAATTTAACAGAAAACATAAAGAGCATACGGATAGTCTGTTTGCTTGATTAACATTTCACAGGCAAAAGCCAAATAAAAATTTTATACATTGTCAAAGACAATAAGAGAACCTTGGGATAACCCTGAAATAAATGTTAACTTAATTATACCTATTTTATATCAAATGCCAAAATATGGATTGAGAATGCTTTCCTTTATGTAAAAAGTTCACAAGATACACTAATGAGTACAAGGAGGTCAAGCTAAATGTATCTAAAAGTAGTTCAGCTCACACAGTTTTAAAAAAAGGTATCATTTTGATTTCTATGAATTCTAATATGAAATTGTGCTAACACAGGTGGCTCAGTCAGTTGGGTGTGTCCGACTCTTGATTTCAGATCAGGTCATGTTCTCAGGGTTGTGGGATCGGGCCCTATGTCTGGCTCTGCACTAAGAGTAGAGCCTGCTGGGGATTCTCTCTCTCCCTCTTCCTCTGCTCCTACCCTCCCCCAATCCTCCCTCTCTCAAAAAAAAAAAAATGTGGTAACAAGATTTGAATATTCTCCTTAAACTGCAATTACCATCAACAAGCATAAAATAAGCAAAGACTATGAGCCCGGATAAAAACTGATCAGTACTTAATACACAGGAATAAACCTAAGAATCACTGATTAGAATATGATATACCAAAATGACTAAGGAATAACTTAGAAGTGACATAATTATATTTAGATATGCCATACCTAAGAACATCTATTTCATCTTTCAGGGCTCTTGTTTCTTCAGCAAGACTAGTCAGTTCATCATTCCTATGCTGAAATTCAATTAGTTGCTTTTCAAGTTCTTCACAGTGAACACGGTAATCATCTTTTGCAGCTTCAAGCCTTGAGTAAAGAAAACAAGTACTTATAATGTAATTTCCATCATTTGTTTTCTTACTGAGACATGTGCAAGACATACTTTAAAATTTTTTTTTTTTTATTCCACACTCAAAAGAAAGACTAAAGAAACAGGACACTTCCAGCTCCTGGATTTGAAACTGGCTGAGAATAAACTTAATGTTCTGAATTTTCATTTTCACTTCTGAAACACTGCGCTTCGTTATCTCTAGCTCTAGTAAGAGTTTTAATTTCAAAAGATGAAGAGAAAATATATAAATATGTATTAAAATTACTCAAAAATACATACCACATGCAAAGTGGTAAAATATGAATTCTAAGTAGACTATAATAAATTAAGGATAAATACTTAAACTCTACAGCAACAACAAAAAGTAAAAAGACAACATAGTGAATAAAGTCAAATATTTAAAAAAATTTGATTTACCCAAAGGAATGCAGAAAAGAAAAACAAAAGGATATGACAAATGAAAAACAGCAAACTGACAGACTTAATACAACCATAACAAAAATTACATAAAAGGCAAAAAGACTAACACACCAATTAAAAAGGCAGAGACCATCAGACTAGATAACAAAACAAGGCTCAAATATATGCTAATAACAAGAGCTGGTTTAAATATAAAGGCACAGATAGATTAAAAGTAAAAAGATTCAAAAAAACACCATGCAAACAGTAAGCAAAAGAAATTGGGGTAGTTATGTTAACATCAAACAAAATAAATTTTAAGACAAAAGAGTATTATCAGATATAGAAATATTTCATAATTATAAAAGGGTCAATTCATTAGAAAGCCTTATCATAAATGTGTATATACTTAAAAACAGTTTAAAAATACATGAAGCAAAAACTGACAGAATCAAAGGCAGAAATCCACAAATCCACAATCATTGTTTAATACCAGTCTCCAATAAAGGACAGAAACAAAAATATCAGTAAAAATACAGAAGCGCTCTGAACAACACCATTAACCAACTTGATTTGACATGTGTAGAACATGTCAGTCAAAAATTACAGAATACACATCCTTTGCAAGTGCACAGGGAACACTCATCACAATGAAACAGGCCAAGCAATAAAATAAGTATTAATAAGTATCAAAAGACTGAAATCTAGTGAAGTATGCTCTCTAACCACAAGAGACTTAAATTAGAAATTAGCCACAATAAGAAGTCTAGCAAAGCCTTAAATACTTGGAAATTAAACAACACATTTCTGAATAACCCACAAGTCAAGGAAGAAATCACAAAGGAAATTAGAAAATATTTCAGATCAAATAACAACAGAAAGACAACCAGTCAAACTTTGGGGACCCAGCTAAACCAGTGCTTAGAGGAAAATTTACAATTTTAAAGGCTTATATTAGAAATGAAGAAAGACTTAAAATCAATCATCCAAGTTTCAACCTTAAGAGTCCAGGAAAAGAACAGCAAATTAAATCCAAAGTAAAAGGAAAGAAAGAACAGAGATCTAAAACCAATAATATGGAAAGCTAATAAAGTGTTTGAAAAGATTAATAAAATTGATAAAAACCTAGTAAGAGTGATCAAGAAAAATGAGAAAAAACACAAATTAACCAATATGAGGAATGAAAAAGTGAGTATCAGTATAGATCCTACAGTCATTAAAAGGATAATAAAAGAATATTATGAACAACTGTATGCCAATAAATTCAACAACTTAAATGAAATAAACATACACCTTGAAAAGCACAACTTATCAAACTGACAGAGATTAAACAGAAAACCTGTGAAGCCTTTTGACCATTAACAAAATTGTATTTGTCATTAAAAGCCCTTCACAAAGAAAACCATAGGTCCAGACTGTTTTACTGATAAATTCTATCAAACATTTAAGGAAGAAATAATATCATTCTTACATAAACTCTTTCAGAAAATAGAGGAGGAGAGAATACTTCCCAATTATTCTATGAGACTAGCAGAACTCTGACAACAAAACCTGAAAAAGACATTACAAGAGAAAAAAGTTATAGGCCAATATCTATATGAAGACAATCAAAAAATTCTTTCAACATATTAGCAAACTGAATCCAGTCATATATATGCAGAATAATAAGGATGACCAAAGTCTAACCCTGAAATATAAGATTGCTCAATATTTAAAAAATTAAACAATCATAATAAAAGAATGAAAAAGAAAAAAACCACACTGTCCTTTCAAGATGTAGAAAAATCATTTGTCAAAAATCAATACCAATTAATGATAAAAACTCTTAGCAAGCCAGAAATAAAGGGGAACTCCTGCAAAATTATAAAAAGCACATTAAAAAACTCTACAGCAAGCATCATACTTGATGGTACACTTAACTGAATGTTTTCCCCCTAAGACCTGGAACAAAGTAAGATGTCTGTTCTTGTTCAATGCAAGAAAAATAGAGGGCAGAAATAATAAAAGGAAGATGTAAAGCTCTATTAATAGATTAGATGATTGTAGATGCCTTAGATTTTCTACATAAACAAATTACTAGAGTCAATAAGTGAATTAAGAAACTTTACAAGACATAAGTTTCAAAATATAAGATCAGTTTCAATATATAAAGATCAACTGTAAATACTAGCAGCCACTTTTCAGAATAACTTTAATCGTATTTGTGATAGCATCTACTTGGGAATAAAGTTAATAAAACACATACAAGACTTCTCTGCCAGAAACAACACAACATTGCTGAGAGAAATTAAAGACTTAAATAAATGAAGATACCATATTAGCAGATAGAAATTCTCAATATAGTTAAGATATCAATTTTATACAACCTAAATCATCATCACAAAAGGTTTTTTAAACAGAAACTGACTAGCTGACTCTCAATTTTAAGTAATAATGCAGAAGACTTGGAACAGCCGAAGCAAATTTTGAAAGAAAAGAACAAAGTTGGAATACTCACACTACCTGATTGTAAGCTTACTCTAGAGCTAAAGTAATCAAGACTATACCATATAGGTATAAAGATAAAGTGATCAATGGAAAAGAATTAAGGAGTCCAGAAAATGACCCAAATTTTATGGTTATATCTTTTTCACAAAGGTACAAAGCAATTTAGAGTAAAACTAAAATCTTTTCAAATTATGATACTGTAACAAGTAGATACCCATATGGAAAATAAAAATAAAGCTTGACCATACATTATTTTTAAAAAAATCAAGATGGACCACAGACTTACATGTAAAAGATAACACTGTGAAGGTTCTAGAAGAGAACAGTAGAGAGTATCTTCATGGCATGGAAGTAGACAAAGATTTCTTGGGCAGTACACAAAAACACTAATATTAAAAATATTGATAAAGTAGACTTTTAGCATCTAAGTTAAGAACTTCTACTCATTGAAAGACACCATTTAAAAATGCAAAGGCAAGCTACAGAATGAGTGAAATATTACTATGCACATATCTGACAAAGGATTTGCATCCAAATTTTTAAAAATTCCTACAACTAATTGATAATGACAACCCAATGTAAAAACAGGCCAACAGTATGAAGAGACAATTCACAAAGTAAGATATATTTCCAATAAGCACATGAAAAGGGGCTTATCACATCGCTGGTTATCAGGAAAATGCCAATTAAAGCCATAAGGAGATACTACACTCTTCCTGAACTATTTAGTTAAAAAGATGGGTAAGAACTATGCTATGCAGGCAGAACAACTAGAGCAACGAGAGCAGACTCTGCTCATGGAAGTATAAAATGTTATGACCACTTTGGAAAATGGTTTGACAGTGTCTTTTAAATTAAACACAGAGCTACTGCATAACTCAGCAATACCACTCTATATATTTACCAATGAGAAATAAGAAAAAATATGTCTACAAAAAGTCTTATATTACAATGTTCAGACTAGTTTTACTTACAAAATCTGAAAACCCAAATGCCCATCATCTAAAGGAAAATGGATAAATAAGTGCATAATGTGGAATAATTCCAAATATTTAAATACTACTCAGCCATAAAAAAATAATGAATTACAGATACATTCAAAACATAGATGAATCTCACAAACATGCTGAGCAAGGGAAGCCATTCACCAAGGAGTTCATACTGCATGATTCAATTTATGTGACATTCTAGATGAGAGAAAACTAATTTTTGGTAAAAAATAATCAGAAGAGAAATTAGCCTCTGGGAGGTAGACATTGACTGGGAAGGAAGCATAAAGAAACTTTCTTCAGTGATTGAAATGAATTGTATTTTGATAAAAGTGTGAAATTAAACAGACGTATGCATCTGTTAAAACATGTCAAATTGTACTTAGTATTATTCATCTCACAATATGTAAATGTTACCTTGCAAAAAGAACTGTAAACATACTGAAGTCTTATTAATAGTTTGCTTAATACAAAGGTAAGGTTAGCAATTCTTAAATTACTTTCTGTGTGTTTTGGGATTGAGTATATGAGTAAATATACTGAGGAAAATGGGAGCCAGGTTTCTCATCACTGGAGAAGGGGTTTACAATATGGAAATGGAGAAGATCAGAATGAACCCCAAAAACACAGAACTAAAATGAAAGATGTCAAAATGAATTCATTGTTCACAGTGAGAGACATAAAAACCAATGCAGACATATAAGCGTATGAACACAGGCAAGTGTGAATATGGGCAAGTGTATTTCCTAGCTCTGTACCCCAAAGGGGCCTAGAAGCAATGACAGAAAAACTCATCTGGAGCACTAGATCTTTGTTTCTAAATAACATTGTCACTAAAAGGAATTAGGGATCCTTGGAGAAATGGCTGATTGCAGAGTCGGGAAAAGACGAGATGAGACTAGAATATTTTGTTGTTCCAGAAAGTAAGAAAGTGCTCAAAGGATAGTAACAGGTTGAAAGGACACAGAGGCCAACTGAAAGGCTTCCCAGTGGTGGAATCTGGGACAATTTCACCATTAAATAGAAGATGATAGCTACTGATTTAATTAGACCATTGAATAAGAATCGATTACTAAATGCAATGCATGATCCTGGATTGGATGCTGAACCAGGAAAAAAAAAAAAAATAGACATAAAGGACAATGAGACAACTAATGGAATTTGAGTATGATCTGTGGATTAGATAATTATATTGTATCAATGACAAATTCCCTAATTTTAATCACTATACTGTGGTTTATAAGAGAGTGTTTTTGTTTTAGGAAATACATGCCAAAGTATATAGGGATAAAGGTGCTTGGCTCCTGCTTACTCTCAAGTGGTTCAGAAAAAAATATGTGAATCCGTAAGAATATGTACAGAGACTGCTAAAGCAAATGGAAAAAACTGCAAAACAACTGTGGAATCTGAGTAAAAGGTATAAAGGAGTTCCTTGCACTATTCTTTCAACTGTTTTTGTGTTTAAGTTTGATATTAAAACAAAAAAAAGGAACAAAAACCATAGAGTACAATTAGAGTGCCTACTCTCAAGGCCTTATAGTTCCAGGCTCAGCAGCAAGCACACAAGAGACAATGTTTATTAAAGGCAAGATGTATAACAGCTTTTTTTTTTTTCAAAGAAGAAACAAAAGTTAAAGTAGAAAGCATCTCTTTAGCTTAAAATTTCCATTTATTATCAAGTTCTCTCTCCTTTATAATAAACGCCCCATTCTCCCCAGGCCTCAGCAGTCACTCCCTTAAACTCCTATTGGACTTACACATGGCCTTCATTTGGCCCTTATCACAAGTTATTTTGAACTGTTTTGATTTTATAGACATATCCCACTTGCCTAATTAGATTGCAAGCCCTGTGAAGGCAGGAACCACTTGTACCATTCGGTATTTTCAGAGCTTAATCAGTGTCCCAAGCATGCTATAAAGCTCCAGGATGCTACAGCATACTATAAAATGTTTACTAATTAGTTGTTGATAGGATTTTTTAGCTCTTAGTTTAACAGAACTCTATGGAAGGATTTTTACTAAAAATGCTACCTGAAGTTTTCTTCCTGTAATTGTTCTAGTTGTAACTGAGCATGAAAATACTTTTTTGCAACCATTGTATTTGGATCATCAAAAGATCCATCCAACTGGTCAAGTTTTTCATTCATCATCTCATTCTCAGAAACTAATGAATTCTTTTCATCTTGAAGTGCAGTCACCTGAAAAACAAATATACAAACATAAGCATCAACAGCAAAAAAGCTTAGAGTCCAGAGTTCACATTATAATTGTGACTAAGCCATTAAATTAATTTGGTCAGTCAGACTAGATAATTTTTAAGGCTCCTTCCAAATCTTGAATTTTGGGTCTAGGAGGTTTGAGTCAAACAAAAGAAATCAAAATAATTTGATTATTTTTATTAATTTATTAATATACCTTATTAATTAATGTATTAATTAATACAGAGAAAACAGTTAATTCACATAAGGAGAGTATCTTCAAAAATGTTATGCTTGGGGGCGCCTGGGTGGCTCAGTCATTAAGCGTCTGCCTTCGGCTCAGGTCACGATCCCAGGGTCTTGGGATAGAGCCCCGCATTGGGCTCCCTGCTCAGCCGGGAGCCTGCTTCTCCCTCTCCCACTCCCCCTGCTTGTGTTCCCTCTCTCGCTGTGTCTCTCTCTGTCAAATAAATAAATAAAATCTTCAAAAAAAAATGTTATGCTTGTCCTAGTTTTGGGAAGAAAATGTTTCCAAGTCTCTAAAATTACGTACCGATAAACTTCAAAAAATTAATTTGTTCCCCTTTTAGTTATAAATTTACTATTAGGATGCTGTTATCTAGTAAGCTAAAATACACACACATATATGCACAAAGTTATTTTAGGTTCATAGTAGAAAATTATCAGTTACATATCATGCCTTCAGGGACAAGCACATTATTTCGTTAATGAATCAATAACAAAAAGCTGAATTGAATCTATTTGCACATTAAGACTGTTTACATTTTAAAATGGATAAAAATATGTAATTTTAGAACCACATCAATATCAGTACCTGATTCCTTGTTATTTTACTTACATATATATGCAACGCCTTTTTCTTTCCCTTTTAAAAATATCTTTAAAAGTTTACAGCTAGGCTGTAACCTTTTATAAGACCAGAAGTTTATATATGATTTTATTAAGATTTGTTTGAAAAACATGAATCATTGACCTCTTATGACTTTCAACATATTACTACATAGGTTTACGATTATTTTTTCAAAACATGTAATAAAATCAACCCAGTTATGTGAACGGGACTATATAGTGACACGGTGAACTAGTAATAGGAAATGAAAGTCAAGTGAGTGCCTTTAAATACAGTATAGGCAGGTTACAAACACTGTCCTCCAAATGAGCAACACAAAGGCTCGGAAAACTGTCCCCAGGCAGACTGCAGGAAAAAGAAATTTCTCTTCCTAAATTTAAGGCATGCATCCATCCTTGCCATGCAAGCCGTTTGGTGTCTATTACCTGTCATGTGCAATCCTAAATGACTGAGATACACAAAAGAATGGAGTTTGAACCTTCAGTATCCTTATGGTAGAAATGTAAATAATTATGCAAAAGAAAATGTTCCAGGTGCTTTGATGGAAGCATACCACAGGGTGGGGGTGGTACACAAAGAAAAGAATATCTCATTCTAGCTGGAGGGAAGAGACTGTCACAAAAAGATCAACTGAAGAGAAACAATACCTCCATCTTCCAAAATGGGTCAGAACCCTCTAAAGTAGGCAGGGGAGCAAGGGTAAATTTAATTTTCAACACCTGGTGTATAACCAACCTGGTTCCTATCCATGTTTTACACTGTGGCTTCAGAGCTACCTTTAACCATAGACTGAAGGAGGGGGTAGTAAACAGGCAAATTCCTTGTACCACACCCTCTCATCTATGCCTTAGAATGTCCATTAGTGGGTTCTAGACATCTCCTTTAGCAAGCTCCCACGGTGATATTTTCTTTAGGTTCATAATGTACCTGCCTTTATCCCTGTCTGATTTTTTCTCTATTTCTTTGTTTCTCTCCCCTTTGTTGCTATCTCTCTCTCCCTCTATCTCTCTCTCTCTCTTTCCCTCTCCCCCTTCCCCTTTCTGAGTTAAGAGACAGAAAAATTTTAAAAGCTAAAAAAAAAGACTCATTTTCTCGTATCACCCAGATTTAACTTAATTCTTGTATACCATTTGCATATCTAAAAACAATGAAATATAAAACTCTATAGCTGGAGTCCCCCTTTATCACATTAAAATCAGAAAACCACCGCCTCAGACAAAAACTTATCTCGTACAATGGTGGGCAGGAGTATGTTTTCTCTAACATACCGTGAGCAAGAATGACCGGCCACTGCTCCGGCAGTAAGTGAAGGATTGCTTCCTATTGCTGCCAGGTGATAGGAAGAATGGCTGGGAAAGGCAGAGTAAAAGCCACTGGCAAACATGTCGTAACTTGCCTGAAGGCCCCATAATAATCCCAACTGGAACAGAACTAGAAGACTACATCAGAGTTTCTCAAAACTTCACATCAAAATGTCACGTGGAGATTTTTCTCTTTTTTTTTTTAAAGTACACATTATCAGGCCTGCCTCCTGATTTCCTGAATCAGAATTTCGCTTGCCCCAATATTTAAAACCATAATTTGCACAGAATCAACATAGTTCTTATTTAAAAGGATTCAAGCTTCACCCGATCTTTCACCACAAAATCTCCACTTTTGCATTCTTTATTTCGATTAAAACATGTTTGCTAGCTGAACTGTGTCAACAAGTAGTTTCTCCAAGAAGGGCCCATGAGTCTGCATCTGAGCTCTCCATCTGGGTATAGGGCAGCTTCCCTGCCGAGGCAGTCTGGAGATACCACACTTCCATATTCTGGCATTCATGTTGTAGGGGAGCCTGATTTTGTCTTTGCGGGTGATCTGCCTTATCTATCTGAACGACTAAGTACTTGTTTTTCCTTTATTCTTGAAGTTCAATAGCTTACCTAGGATAAAGCCTGGTGTTAAAAATTATTCACTGATTTGTTTCTATAGATCTACAATTTCCTTTTAAACCTCACTTTGTTGTCCTACCACCTAGTCTATTTTACTGATGTGTTCCTATGAAATTGTTATACAACATGAAGCAAAGGTTATTTTCTAAGCTTGGCTAAAGTCTTTCACATGCTCTTTAACCTGCAATGTTTGCACAGATGTCATGCTTTTATTCTTTTCATCTAAATCATGCTTCACTGGCAGTTAAGATACCCTATATTTTCCAATGTAGCTGAAGACTTCCTGGACACCCTCTCCACTGTGCCAAAGACCCAGTATGTCTTCCCTTCTAAGTTATGGTTGGGACTGTTTTCCCTCCACACCATTCTACAGCCTTGTGAAGGGTTAGGGAAGGAGGGGGGTGAGGGCAGGCAATGGGCAGTGTTTTTGTAACACCTCGGTTATGCTCTCATGTCTGAGGTTTAAATACCTTTAATCAGGGTGTGAGAAGTGTATCCCATTCCCAGGGAGGAATTCCTTTGGGCATCAGACCATTCCCCCAATGCAGTGTGTAGCTCTACAGCCTTTTTTTTCTAACAGAAGGAGTGAGGCTGAGGGCACCTGAGTGGCTCAGTCGGTTAAGTGTCTGTCTTCGGTTCAGGTCATGATCCCGGGGTCCTGAGATCGAGCCCTGCATCGGGCTCCCTGCTCAGCGGAGAGCCCGTTCCTCCCTCTCCCTTGCCTGCCGCTCTCCCTGCTTATGCTCTCTCTCTCTCTCTGTGTCAAATAAATAAATAAAATCTTTAAGAAAAAAAAAAAAAGGAGTCAGGCAGGCCCCCTAGGCTCTTAGTCGCCCCTCCCCAGTCCAGTGAAAGAAGCAAAGGGTGACTTCCCTCCTGATTGGGTAGACTGCAGTAAAAAGCATCAAGATTTCTGTGGATCTCACCACCCCCAACCCACTGCATGGGCTAGGGATAAGGGTCATGAGATCGAGCCCCACGTTCCTCCTCGAGGAGTCTGAGATTCTCTCCTGCTCCCTCTGCCCCTCCCCCTACTCATGCACGTGCGCCTTTTACTCTCTCTCTCTCTAAAATAAATAAATAAAATCTTAAACATTAGCTTTGTTCAAGCACAGGACTGATTTTTTAAAGATGAGGTTAAAAGACTAGGATTCCAGTGCTTTCACTGCCTTAAGTAGCTGAGTCATCTTGACCCGAGTCACTTCTCTTTTCCTATCTGCAAGCCCTTAAGGGTTAGAAATATTACTCAGCCCTATCATTATAGGTATTTATCCCATCAAGCAAGGATAATACTACCACAACCCTTGTTCCTTGTCTTCATACTTTTCAGAGAGTAAATTATTTATGTAACTCATTATTTGAACAAAAACATGCAATTTACATATAGCACACTATGATGGTACATTTACTCTTTTGCATAATTTTTCAAGACTTACTGTGTAACTTCTGCATTTGCATTTTTATATAACAATAACAACACATGCAAACACACATAGCGTTTATGTGTGTCAGGTCCTGCTCTAAGTGCTTAACATATATTAACTCATTTAATCCTCATAATCACTCTGGAGATACATACTATTATCACATCATTTCTCAAAAGAGGAAACTGAACTATAAAGAAATTAATTTGCCTGAGAGGACACAACCAGCTAGTAACACGGCTTCGGTCTGAATATAGGTGGACTGGTTTAACGATCTACCTCACTAACCATTAACTACTGTCTCTCCTACCAAGTTATACTGTCTCTCATATGAACTCAAGAATTATATACACGTGTTCAGATACATGCATGTTAGCAAAACTCACTTGGTACTCGCATTTATGTGCGGTGCGGGGGGAGGTCAAGCACTTCTAAATACTTCCATAAATGACCTCACTTAAATATTTACACTCTATGCAGTAGATACTTTAATTTCTTTTTTTTTTTTTTTTAAAGATTTTATTTATTTGACAGCAAGAGAGGGAA